ATAGTATATAGTGACCATTGCCCGTCTGCATATAGACTACGTTTGGTTTCAGCGAATGATGTGAATGCGATATATATCTCTAACGTATATACCTATACTATCTTCAAACGTACGTCACGCCCAGTGGATGGAGCTTTGCGCATCTATAAGGGACGTAGGAAGTCTTCGTCTCAAACGACACCCCAGAAGACAGTCACGATCACGGATAAGTGCACCATGTCCAAAATAATCGAATCGAAGTATGTCGGATTGTTCTGCTTTGATTATGCCTATAGAGTTCCTACAGGATTAATATCGATACATATGTATAGTGCAGTGTATCTGAATCCTCAAGACGAATTAGCCGCAAAGTTCTCTATTATATAGAAAGTGGTGTGTCCTTATATATCTCACCAGTGTCTGTTTTTATTGATCGTTCTCGTGGTTTCGATTGAGATGCACTTCATCTTCGCACGCATTGAAGCGGACGGTCACTGCATTTATATACTCCGTGTTCGCATGTCTGCATACTCATGTGCATACTTTTAATACTGTCACTCACTATTGCTCACGATCACTCACGCGAACACAAACGCTATTCGCAATTCTAAAGCAATACTACTTCTTTGCATGATTTCTGACAGATCTCTCTCGTCTAAGATCGAATCCAAAGTCCCAGGGCGCTCTCCATTTCCGGTGACATCTCCATTTAAGTGGATTTTGAAACTGGATCACTGTAATTGGAACGGAACGCACCAGGTAAGCTTCAACCATCCGCGTTGTTCACAACTCATCTTATACTACGTATTGATATGCGTTGCATTTGAACGACAAATACACATGGAAGGAATAGAGTGAATGCGGAAAAAAATTTAAAAATAAAATGTGTACATGCATACATAGAGCATACACGATTATAGTTGCTTGGGAACACGTGTAGTTTAGGGGGGAGGGCGGGGTGTAGCTAAATAAGTAGTTGAGTGGATTGTAGTGTAGATGGTCTATGCTAGATGGCAAGGGATCTACTATCCTTTTAGTAGACATAGTCTATGCCTAGAGTGTATTGGAATCCCATGAGGCGGGGCATTTCCGTAGAATTAATTAGCGCCTTAGCGTTTGCGTGTGCATATTCGGTTTGTGCAGAGTGGATATGCATTCGCCACTCGATCACCTTTTCTCAGATCTTGGATTCTTTTTCCCGCGTGTATTAATTAAAATACAATTATGTGTTACTCCTCTATGCATTATAGCATGTATGCACTAAAGATATTACGATTGCTTTCATGCTGCTGGTTTCGTGTTTCCCGCGTGTATTAATTAAAATACAATTATGTGTTACTCCTCTATGCATAATAGCATGTATGCACTAAAGATATTACGATTGCTTTCATGCTGCTGGTTTCGTGTCAGGGTTACGTCTAATACCCACCTTTATCCACACGAAAACGCTGGTTCATGGCGTGTAAAGGGCACCATCGAGTTTGCAGTCAAGACCGAGTCGCAAGCCAGGCAGTGGCGAGATAAATTTTTGGTCACCATCCAACACGCCAAGAAACCGGACGAGTCCAGTACTGCGCATCTGCGAAGCGGCTATGAGGAGTACCGCACAGATTCCTATTCCACCGAGCCATCGGGCGAACCTACTGGGCCCATTCTCGGGGGCAAGCGGATGAATCCTTGGTTGTCGATGGGCGTGTACGATGGAATACGCGTGAGTATTGACGATTTCGCCACAAAGATTCTAGTCGAGTAAGTTGAGTCTGTGGTATTTGTGTAGCAGTATGCGAGTGATGCTTTCGCTTACTGGGCTGAGAGATCTGTGCGGTGCTGGATCAGGTCACACGTATCCGGGAGACCCAGAATTTTATGAAGCAAGTAATGCCATACTCCACATCATGTAACGATGGAGTGGCAGATTTTAATTGCACCATCTTGTCTACTATCGAGCTGACGGACAGGCATTTAGTACAGCCACAATTGTATTTTTTTTGTCAAATACGATTCAAATTCCTATGGAGGTTTGACATGCTTTTTGTTGTTGTTAGACTAACACCTAGGTCTTCACGCAACGAATACGCGAGCATCTCACATATCATTGTTTGCTTTACATTTACAGGGGCAAACTCCAATCCGATGACACTTATTTGTTGATTGTCCTCGGAACGTTTATTGTCACATTCTGCACTGCCTCAGTGGGTAAGTTGGAGCACCACTGCGGTGCTTACCGTCGTCTAAGACTTGATCGTTCGCTCGAAGTCGATTGTTTGCAGTTTGCAAGGTGATCAGTCTCTCGCTGCTACTTGTTGTGTATAGTTAGTTGGAGACATGCACATGTTTTGATTCTCAACAAGCACGTCTATTATATTGTTTTACAAATTGTCTTGCAGCGGAGATGTCATTTGTGTGGAGCATGATCTCCGCCGTCATGGTCACAGCGCCTACCCTATGGACGTTCTTGCGATCCATGAACAGAGCGCAAGTCAGCCGCACTACCACACTGAAGGTGTCTCAGGTATATAATTGGAGGAAAATTATTATTGACTTTTATATAAATATATGTATATG